ACGTACTCCAAAACTGTGCTGACCACCAGTTGCTCCTCAGCGGTACTGGGTTTAGGCGTTGCGGACGCCGCTATGCTACACAGCGCCCCCTCCTATTGGTGAATGACTATGGAGACATGTTCATCGCATTAATCTTAACGAGGCTCAATACTCTGCTTCGGATCACTCTGGACTACATCAATGGCTTTGATCATGCTCTCTTCCGACGTGGATTTTCACTGAATTTCCAGAGTAAAACAGAATCAAACTTCTGGTTAACTTCTGAGCAAAAGCCCGCCATGTGATGCACAGAACGTAGCCACTTCAAAATACACTAACCGTAAGTGGGGAAAGATAAACCATACATGAAGCCGAGCATCAACACGTGGTGGTCCGAAACACGCATATACTAACCAAAAGATTTCAGAACGGTCGCTTTCACATCTTATGAACATTCAGGATCACAGACTGATTCGGCTGGACGGTCTGTTGGACAACTCCAACGGAAACTGTGTGTGGACAGGGAGGCATGGAGTCAGTAAAGTTAAGGAGTGGAGACCAGTGGATGAGGGAGAAGCACGGAAGCCGATCCAGTTAGTCTGAAGAACGACCCAGGACGTCATCTGTTGGTAATGTAGTTAAGGATAGCACTGGAAATCTCATAATTACTAAAATTCAGCGCCTAGATCACCGGAAAAATATTCGCAACAATTTTCTAGTTGACAATCGTCTTCTTTGCCTACGTTTTTCATTCAGTAGTGTTCTGTGAGCCTGGACCCCCTCAGTTGACGAAGTACTAATATACCTTCCTGCCTTGAACTGCCATCAAGCTTCCGGGTCAGATGGGCTTCCACCAGCGCCACTTAAAGACGGCGTTGTGTTCTGTCTTAACTAGTTTTTGGAACAAGAAAACGTTCAGGACATCTCCGAACAACCGATCATCATACCCTCACCCAGAAAGATATACATTAAGAGACTGCTTCATCCATAGGAGTATAGGTCAAACGACTCTAACTGCGAGGCCAGTGGCCTCAATGGTATTGCGAAGCTCAATTATGGCTGATCAGACGCAAATCCGAAGGTAGCGAGCAAGGTTATGCCCAAGTAAGGGGTCCATCATGCACATGTTCAAAGAATGTCAAATCTCTTCACAACCAAGGGGATTTAGACAAATACTCATTCGTACATCAATTTGGTTTTCACGGGAGACTCATGTTAATCTAATTTATGATAGTCTTCGAGAGGAGTGCTTCAAGAAGCCGTCCATCACAATGGAATGATTAGACCGAGGCCAGGAATCTCATTTCCATCTGGTAAGGCATAATCGGGACTTACATCTAGTCTATTCGTGTTCAAATTGTCTACTGTTCTATCGCGATAAGGTTGTGCGCAATATGGCTCAGTGTAGGGATGCTTTGAGTCCTAAAGAGCCGGAGAGTTGGCTTTGAGAGCATCACAGCTTTCAAATGAAATGCTTGACGTTTTTTCGACACTCTGAGAAACTGAACATATGTGTGGGTAACTATATTCGGATCCGGGTCTTGTTCAGTAGTTTAAACAGCATGGCAAAAGTTTACACCATTGGTCCGAGCTCTTTCAGAATCCATCCAATTTGAATTTAATGTCGCCTTCGGCATCTAAGATCAGTTTGGTCAGACAGCAAATAACTGACGTTCCATAGTGTCTGTATTCTAGTTAACGTTGGTATCTTGGGCAGCATAGGTTACCACTGGTTTGTTCGCAGGGTATTTGCAGCAAATACAGTAGGAGTTAATTTGACTCCCGTTGTAACAAGGCTTCTCCGTCACTGATTCTTCGTCGTCCTAACTAGAGCACGAAGCGGGATTTCGACGGGATAGAGGCAGTGTTGACCACATTCCGCCATATGTACAGATGACCCGCAATATCCGTATTCCTTGATTTCAAGGGTGCGTTCGTTTGTGAACATAATCCGATCTCTATATTCCCATACTTCTGGGCGGGTGAGGGTGTATGATGAGCTCTCCAAAGGCTTCCCTACTGAAAGTGTTGTCAGACAAGGACGTCCACTCTCCCCATTCCTGTTCAAATTCATCATTGACGAAATTTGAGACGAAGGCTGAAAGGCCTTCGAAACCCTGGTTTTCAAGTTGTTGCTAGTTAGAACCTTGTCGAGCTGGAGTGCGCAGATCACATTACCTTCATCTTTGAAGACCAAAGCGAAGCACAGGCTCTGTTGAATAGACTGATCACCATCATACAATCTTTCAACATTCGCCCCGCACCTTCAAAGTGCAAAGTCATGCTTCAGAACGTGTAGTCTCAAAATACCCGCTACTATTCAGAGAATCCCTGAAGGTTGCGGAAAATTTTACATACCTCGGTAGTTGTATTAGCTCTGACGGAAATGTCTGATGAAGTCAGTGCAAGAATCTCAAAGGCTCGAATCGCATCTGCTAATATGCGTCACTTGTGGCGTCATAAAAGACATACCACTAGATTTAAGGGTCGCGTGTTGTTGTATGGGTGCGAGACGTGGCCCCTGCGGAAAGGTGATGTAAGGCATTTTCAGGTACTTGACCACCGATGCCCCAGTGTGGCTGGTTTTGGATGGCTTCAGTGTGTTAGCAACGAGGTGATTAACGGGTATTTTGATGAGCTCTCCAAAGGCTTCCCTACTGAAAGTGTTGTCAGACAAGGACGTCCACTCTCCCCATTCCTGTTCAAATTCATCATTGACGAAATTTGAGACGAAGGCTGAAAGGCCTTCGAAACCCTGGTTTTCAAGTTGTTGCTAGTTAGAACCTTGTCGAGCTGGAGTGCGCAGATCACATTACCTTCATCTTTGAAGACCAAAGCGAAGCACAGGCTCTGTTGAATAGACTGATCACCATCATACAATCTTTCAACATTCGCCCCGCACCTTCAAAGTGCAAAGTCATGCTTCAGAACGTGTAGTCTCAAAATACCCGCTACTATTCAGAGAATCCCTGAAGGTTGCGGAAAATTTTACATACCTCGGTAGTTGTATTAGCTCTGACGGAAATGTCTGATGAAGTCAGTGCAAGAATCTCAAAGGCTCGAATCGCATCTGCTAATATGCGTCACTTGTGGCGTCATAAAAGACATACCACTAGATTTAAGGGTCGCGTGTTGTTGTATGGGTGCGAGACGTGGCCCCTGCGGAAAGGTGATGTAAGGCATTTTCAGGTACTTGACCACCGATGCCCCAGTGTGGCTGGTTTTGGATGGCTTCAGTGTGTTAGCAACGAGGTGATTATAAGACGGGTATTTGGATGTGCGGCAGGTACTTTAATCGGGAAAAAACATCCAACAACAGCAAATACGATGGATCGAGTTGCGTATGCCGAAACACCGTCTACCGAGACCAGTGTTGTTCTACGTGCCTCATTCAGAATGGAGCAAACCGCGCAGTGGACACCGTAATTCTTAACAGAAGGGTTCGAGAGATTACGAAGAGCTTGGGAGTTGTTGGTGCGGTCCACTTTTCAGGATGGGTACCCCCCTGACTGTCCTGCGTTAGGACGGAGACATTGCAAGAAATGGCGGCTACTCGATGTCAGTGGCCTTCGTGTCATCCGTTTCTCTCCAGATTGCCCTAGAATGCTTGCGATAGGCCGGCATCAGGTCCTCTCTCTCCCACTCACTTTCTTACTTTACTTTCATTTTAAGATTAAATATAATTAGATAAACCTGGTGGTTGTACGGCGGTGAAGCATCAGAACACTGCTAGTTAGGACGGAGACATTGCAAGAAATGGCGGCTACTCGATGTCAGTGGCCTTCGTGTCATCCGTTTCTCTCCAGATTGCCCTAGAATGCTTGCGATAGGCCGGCATCAGGTCCTCTCTCTCCCACTCACTTTCTTACTTTACTTTCATTTTAAGATTAAATATAATTAGATAAACCTGGTGGTTGTACGGCGGTGAAGCATCAGTGTCAACACTGCTATAGCTGTCCCTGGTGATGATACCTACGCACTTTTAGGCTGGAATCATTAGCCATTCATTCCATAACGCACTGTCTACCTATTTCGACTGTACGCATGATCGTGGGAAGTGGATATCAGACCCGCTGATGCGTTACCGTTTTCTCACAATAGAATGGCTGATGGGTTGGTCAGCTTTCAGTCCTGTTCTGTGCTGATCCGAGAATCAGGCCCCTACGGAACGGCTTTATTCGGGTTGTATGGCAGCTAGGTGTCACAGCTGAACCATTGTCATTCTTATGACCAAATGGCTTGCTTTCAACCGCCATGATAGAAACTCATTGAATTACATTTTCGGGCGTTCATTACCCTCATTTGTGAAATTTCGAACTCCCACCACGCAAACAATAGAGCAGTCCTTGTGCAGATCGCATATGTCCAGACGCTTAGGGGGCTGGAGTAAGTCCATAGCTTGCCCCGATGCACTAGAATCAAATGGGTCACGGACCCGTGGAAGTAACAACGGAGCCATGCTAAATTGCACCGCGAAACTGTATACGGCCAGTAAGAACGTGTTCTACTTCATATTGCCATTTTTCGCTAAATGGCAAATGGACAGGACGGCGTTGGAGGGTGTATGCATTCTCCAGGTCTGTGGTAAAATGGAGACACTTTAACAATGGGTTACAAACGAGGGCCATTGGTCAACAGGATTGAAACGGCCACGACGGATTTCCTGTTAATCAATCACTTCGGAGATATTTCGCTGCCGTTAGCTAACAGTTTCCCAAGAGAGACCAATCTCATCATAGGAGCTACAGCCTGTGACAGTCACAATTTACATATACACCACCTCTGAAGGGAGCACTCCCGAAAAAGTGTCAAACAGTCTGCTACGCCGCAGCTTCCTATCACAAGGCTAATTATTCCGATCAACAACAGAATTATCTAAATGAGTACGTCAGATGCGATCCTCTTTGTTTCTTTAACATAGACACCTTGACTAGATGGTGGCGTCAACGTGCATGGGGTCGATGGACGACCACATAAGTCATCTCCCCCGCGAATCCCAAAATTAAAATCTACTAATATATTTGGATATCAGGTATATTTTCGGACGACATTGGTACATCCATGAGGCCTAGACCAATCGCAGGTACCCAGAGGACGCAGTAAACAACACTCAAGATGGTAGTGAGTGAGCGATGATCAAAATCACTCGGAAACCAATAAACCGGCTGCTTGATGCCTAGGGCTGGAAAAACTCTGGTAAAAACAAAACAGTGAAACGGGACGCGAAATGCGACAAAATTTGCTAATTCAATAGATACAGGATGATAGTCTGCAAGGAAACCAAAGCTAAACTACCACTGCGGATCGACCTGGCAGCAGCGAACTTAAACAAGCATGAGTGCCGGATTTTCAAGTAGGGATTTGAATTCAGCCAACCATTGCGCGCCAACGGCACCGTCAACCACGCGGTGATCACAACACAGAGTGACGGACATCACCTGTCGTTTCCGAAATCTGTGATAAAAGATGGAAGACAACCGGAGATGACGAGACGCTGGGTGGAATAATGGTCTTGATGAAAGAACAGGCAATAAAACGGACTAAATGACGTGAATTTAATTCTCCATTATTCGATTATCCGATGGGATGCATCCTCGACGTTGAAGTTGAGTCCCCTCACTAGAAGTCCCTGTTCAGCTGTGCTGAAATGGCGGCTCGACAAGTTTTTGATCCAAACGTCGTAATTTTTGTTTGTAATTCCTCATGAGTTCGCACAAAGTCATCTCTATGGCTGTTCCACGTTCACTCTTGGATTGCTTTCTCGGTGTCCGATTGCTACTTCAAGTTCTGAAAAGTTATTTGGCCGGTTTTAGCCAGACAATTTTTCTTGCTCCCAGTGATTAATCTTTCATATTTTTCAAGACAAAAGAGACACACGGATCAAATACTAAACAACAGCAACCATCCAGTGAACCACAGGAAAAGCTGTGTCCAAACCCTGTTCAAGAGGGTGGAGACACATTGCAGCACCACATAAATACGGAAGAAGAGAACATTTGTTCAAAGTATTCCAGGATAATGGATATCCAAGGAATTTTATCAAAAGAATCTTGAAGACATCCCGACAACAGCAACCGCAAGAACAAGCGACTAGGACGGGTAGTTTTGCCTTACATCAACAATATATCTGAACTCGCAACTAGATTATAAGCTCGAAAAGGAATCCTCCCACAAACTTAAGGAAACTTATCTCAAGACCGAAAGACAACCGAGACAAAAGCAGGAGGAACAATGTGATAAACCAAATCAACTGCAACCAATTCTACATTGGAAAAACTGAAGGAACATAATGCGGTCATCAGGATACATGACCCCTATCCTTGATATCCATACACGAAGATCAAGGAGGCCACAGATTCTATCTGGAAAACGCAAACTTTTTGCCACACGGAGATAGCCAGGCATGGAAGGAAATTTCTCAAAAGCATGGTACTTCACGGCGGATTCAAGCAACCGATGCATTGAATTGGATCCAATTTACTCACCACTACGTGCACGGATCAACATCTCAACCGGAATACTCAAGGAAAACCGAATATTGGACTCACAAACAAACAAGGAACTCCTTGAAGTCAGAGCAATAAAGGTCACAAGCCGGAACTCGGAAGATCCAAGGATAAAGGTCACTCCAACATCCACCAGAGTACGACGACAGGAGATGCCAAGCTCCAAGGTCATGTGAGCATCGGCGAATCAGGACACAGGATAACAAAGCAACCAATAAAGCCGCCCGACCGAATGACTAGTCGTGACCATAGATCAGCCCCGCCTAGAAGCACGTGTTTTAACACACACGCAACACTATTTAAGACACAACCACCTACGCCCCCTAACAACGCACTGATGACGTCACCTCGATTGGTGCTGAAACGTTTGCAAACAAATTTCCCAGCCCAGTGGACAAGCCAACGACCATCTACGTCACTTGAGCTACCAACACTTTCCTCCGTAGAAAACATGGTGAGTGTTCAAAAGACAGATAAGAGGGCATATGAAACAACGACTGATTGGCCGAAGCACAAAGTGGTACGATTTGGGGAGAATAGGTAGTTGGGGCTATTGGAGCAAACTGGTTATGCATGTGCGAGTTCCATCTCTGCTCACTGATCTCTTTATTCATTCTGGAAATCTTATTCCAGTCAACAGTGTACTTGGTATTCGAACAATATAATCCCCAGTCGTGAGAGAGATGCTGAGGAATCCGACTGGATGTGGCTTCTGCTGATCTGTTGATCCAGTTATTGTTATTTTATCATAGTAAAGCTCCTAGAATGAAGGACTACCTTGCTGGAGGAACCGAAATGCTGCCTGGTGAAAAGTCACCATTGTTCAGGTTTTGTGAGTTCACGCTCAAATACACAGTAGCAACAAACGTCCTTATCCCAGACCTACTACAAGTGACCACACTGAAAGATTTGAAGAACGAACTGGCCAATTTTGTTCCAAGTAGACGAATCGAACGTCCTGACTTCAAAAGAATTCCGAGGAGTTAACACACAGATTCGCATCACGTCCAGTGATAAGCCCTGTTCCTTCTGACCCCAGCAACGGGTCTTCAAATCAAGTCTAATGCTTGGTGTCCTTTACAAAACCGAATAAGTTTGTCCGTATTGTGCAGACCACCAGATAAGAGGTATGGATGAATGAATGCCAAGCTGTATTTACTATTGAGAGTTGATCGGCATCATCACATACCACGTGGCGACAGCTATCACGAGGAAACATGGTGCTTAACACCGGGTCAGTGGTGGATGTGAAATCTACGCAGTCAGAGTCATGTCTTAACTCCACCATCTGTAACAGAAATTACAGTGCTTCTAGTATAGGCATCAATGAAGATTATTTTTATTCTCCTAGATTTATTCTAACTCACTGCGTCTACAAAGATGCATGATTTCAATCTCTAGAGATCCGAGACATTTATTGGAATAGTTCACCATCCAGAGAGTCCTACATGGGTTTACCTCTCTCACACACAAGTCTGCGTATTTCCTAACCGAGCTCGGAATGATGAATATTTGGCAATGTTGTGGAATGTAGGTAGCTCGAAAGCGCTGCTTGATTGTTGGTCTATTCGCCGAACTTGACAGTTGGATTGCAAACGTTTCATCACCAATCGAGGTGACATCGTCAGTGCAGAGTTCAGTGCACCTTGATTGGTGATGAAACGTTTGCAATCCAACTACCAAGCTCGGCGAACAGACCAACAACCAAGATGAATATTTCTTAGATCAATGCGGTCGTGGTTCTCCATCCCTGAGAATGGCTGTGCATCAACTGCCTTCATGGCGTCCCGGACACCCAAATGACTCAAAGTTTAAAACTCAGTAGGGTAGTAATTAGCTTGAAAAGTCAAGCAAAAACCGGGTTCAAAAACATCAGAGACAAATATCTATCACGTTAAACACACACGCACATATTTCGGTTTATCTGGAGAGTAGTCGCGTCAACCGACAACACAAGCCTTCCTGACTGACTGACTGCTTTGGAGCTTATTCACTAAGTTGTCCTTCTTTACAAAATGTCAACATACGGCACTGCATCAGCTCGCCGTCAACACGTTCATTAAAAAATACACAGGTCGGAATGGATAACAAAAGACACTAGATAGACCAACTCTGCGAACTGGTGGCACAACATCCTCCTGATTAGTTTCAGCCCAATTGGACCGTCATTAATATTCCCTGTCTGATTCAGCAGAATATACCTTATTCTCAAAGACCCATGGTGAATTCAGGTGTCTATTAGTTAAGGGGTACCAGTTTTTCGAGGATCATATAACAAACTTTACCTTCCAGAAATAAGGTAATACCAGACTTATAAGAGATATCTAAAAAGGTATCGCTTGGTGGGAAGGTCACATAAAAAGAGAAATTGCACAAAGTCACAAGATCGCATCAGGTAGGACGGATTATTTTACATCCTTATGAAGGGACAGGAATGGTCTCTTGCTCGCTCAATGCTTGTGAAGAGGATCACCATTATGAAAAAATGTCCAGAGCACTAAGAGCAAGTTTGTCTTGGAGGTGTCGCTTACTTATGGAGTTTTTTACATGACAGGAGCACGAAATAGAATTATGCTATGGTTTTTTGTGTCTGAATAAAATGGCGACAACAACAAGAACTTTAATGATGCCACTACTTGACTCCATTCAGAGCCATAGAATGACATGTATGAGGTCCCATCCGGAGAGCCATGACTGTTTGGTCGAACGTCTTCTAACCATGACCAGCACGCATAAACAGTGTACGAAATCATAGACGCAGTGAAAAAGGTATACCCCCCCCCCCAAAAAAAACTGTTTAGCTGTAGCCCCCTTTCGGTGCCTAGCTGCCATGCCACCCGAAGGTTGCACGAGGCCTGGTATACTATCAGGTTGCCCAAGCCTAGACAGGGGATGTCGAGTGGCAGAGGTCGGGTTCGAACCACGGACCTTCCGGTCAGTAAATTCGCGCTCTAACCACTTGGGCCATCTCGCTCCTGAACCGGTTGAAGGGAATAGTTACGCTCATCGTCACCCTACATAATTCGCCTTCACACATGATTGCTAATTTGTTAATGCAACCAGATACGCGTGATATTGTAGACATTACAATTTTCAAGCATACTTAGCGGGCGAATATCAGCAAGACGGACGGTCCAAACTTTGCACCTCAAAAGCAAGCTATGAGCAACGTAGAGCAGTGAAAAGCGAATACTGAGTCGTCACCGCAGAAGTTTGAGATTGGCGAACGTTGCTGTGACCTTGGCGACTGGAAGTGCAACTTCTCCCCCAAAACTTGCCAAACAGAGCCATTGACTCATTTCAAGTCCCCTTGTGAAGTGAAAAATACCGATTCCCTCGCGAAACGCCAGTGTGTTTTGTAAGCCATATTCAGTCACATGAATTGCCACATAATTTAAGACAATGCGCACTTCCTGAGCACTATTAGCAGTTACTACATGGCGACTAGCCCCTGTGACACACGATGAGTTGATTTCATAGATGTCCCGTACTGCTATTGCCCGAAAGCGTGGGCCAAAGGTTAGATCCGCAATATTTGGGGTTTAATAACGATTCCAGCGGCGGACACCGTATGCTAGGCTGAGACCCAATATCCGCCCCCCAATCCAACTTAACAATGCCGATCCAACTATGCAGACGAGAGATTCAGCTGGAATTCAGTTGAGTATCCTGTTCAAACCAAAATAGTGTCCAAATGAGTGCCAATCTCGAGCTTGTTAGTTTACTTAACAGAATGCCATTCTTAGAAAGTCCACCTCTTACAAGAGTCTATTCTCCTCACATGGTGATGGTTTTCCAGGTTGGATATGGATCATTTTGTCCACAGTTTTGAGGCCTATTCATGCAGAATTTACCCAATTTTTTAGCCTAGTTTGTAATGCAAGTCATGCTCCTTACCATACAGGAGAGTAGCATGCTACAGACCAGAGCTGTTAAAAATATTCGGTTAATCTACTACCAGTTAATTTACGCAAGTTGTGTTGGAAAATGTGGTTTGAGGCCCAGATAAACTCTTACCCGCTTGACGTAGTTTCATCCGGAAAGATCTGCTGCTGTGTGTTGCCGACGGCCAGCAAACAGGCTTGTGGCGGATTGATAATCGCACAGAACGAAGAAATACCGAACATTCCCAAATTGGAAACGGTAAACGTCCCACCCTGTCAAAAGAGCAGTCATGAATTTAAGTAGCTGATGATGAGGGACACATTACTCGAAATAGTGTACCATGTCACCATTGTTTAACTCCTGAGTGGGTAGGTCGCAGCAGCCCAAAAACATCCAATATCAACTATGAAAGTTCTGATCGGCTAAAAAACAATATTCGACCACAAAGTCTTCGGAGAGAAAAACCCCACAGGGGTAAGCGACCAAAATCTCAGCAGCATCCCCAGGAGTATTGACAAATTTTCAGGAATACATTGCGTATGCCCATTAAAGAAGTCACAGTGAACGCAAAGATGTTTACGCTGACTCAACTGACAATCGACTGTTGAGCCACAAAAACGTAGGCAACAAGTACAAAGTTAATGAGAAAAATGGACACGGTTATTCGTGAAATAATTCGGATTAATCACAAACGGACCAGAGGGAGCTCGATATAATGTCAGGGTCTGAATGTGTTGTTTTTTAACAAGCGGTCGAATCGCGCAACCAAGTGGCTATGACCTCGGCTTCTGGATTCTGGTCAGTAGAAACCACGCGACCACATGGCTGTTCAGAAACCTCGAAAGCATTCCAAGTGTGGACTGTTCGGAAGAGAAATTTAATCTGAAACTGGTGAATGGATGTTTGGAAAAATGGCAGTAGTTTTCCGACATTAATTCGCTTGAAAGTTCTCCGGAGAGCGAGGATGATGCAGTTTTCCTATTTGGCTACTGATGATCTACGAGTAGTGAGGATATGTTAGTTTCGGTGAAACCTGTTACAAGCGCACGTACCAGTTTTCAGCAGGCAGTTCAGTGGCGATTTCTGGTACAAATTTCGTCTGCGCCTGATCGGTTATTTGAATACTGAGGACTTATGGATCACAACACGTGTGACTGTATTTTGACACAAACTCACCTGAAATTCGTGTAACTGAAGTTTGTTTTCCTTTGCCTTCGCAGCGAGTGCGCGGACCTCTTGGTTGATCTCCACTAGGCCCTAATAAGCAACAGAGGAAATGATCCTGGTGGTAAAACAGTGTGACGGGGAATAAGACAACTGGCGGTTTTCAAAACCTCTATAGAAAGGTTGTTGAAAAGAAGGCACTTGGAATATCATCTTAAACACGGAGAGGATCACAGGTGAAAGTAATCATACTACAAAGGGATAGGCGAATCCCGTGCACTAGACGTAAAGACGTAACTACACCATCCCGAGTTCTCTGGCGAATGAATGGCGGTTATCTCATCCCGATTAAGATTGACGTCTTCTGAGGGTGCGGTTATTAAAGCAATGTATTCGTTGGTCTCAAAAGATTATTTAGCCCATGTCCCAGAAAGTTTTTCGATGGTAAGACCAAACAATACAAGAGCACGAAATGAACCGACCTAAGGTCCAGAAAGATTGGTATTCTAATACAGAGACCCGCCACCTGGGGCTAATGGATATCATGGCTTCAGGTTTGTCCAAGTTGCGCCACTTCGTCTGAATCTAGTACCATTGAGAAACTTTGATCGGTACCCAGCTGCAGAAGACGATTACCACCGTCATCGCGTCATGGATCAAAGTTGGACAAGTTCTCAGGTTGCGAGCTGCAGAAGACGATTACCACCGTCATCGAGTCATGGATCAAAGTTGGACAAGTTCTCAGGTTGCGCCTCTGAGACGTCCTACATGTACACAGAGACTAGTACAGTATCCAAACTCCTTGTAGTGGACGGGAGAGTGGGTAGTTCCCGATAGAAAATATCCTTCACAGGATCAAGGAAACTACTGTTTGGGTCGATGCGTGTTTCTAAAGAAGTTGACAAAGGCGATTATTTACGCGAATCAACTCGAACTTGGAAGCCCTAGTTGGGGACCTCAGAGATCGACGCTGCCATAACCTTTGCAGCAAACGTCAGGTCACCTGAATTTCGCAGACGGTAGCATCTACAAAATGAAGGCGGCAAAAGCCAGATTATCATACATGAATCTTGTATTCGAGTTTAGAAAAAGCGACGATAGTGCCGATAGTGTGCGTCCGAGCAGGCAGTTTGTCAATTAGCTTGAGAGTTCGCGCATTTAAAGCCACGATAAAAAAAATAGAACGTGATCTGAGAGACGGACGGGAAGCGGTAGCATGCTATTCATCAGTTTGGGTGCATGACTGTTTCTCTTGCTTGGATCTACACATGGGTGATCGGTAAAATGGACAGAAGGGCAGTGAAGGGGCAATACTCAAGAATGCGACGTGTCAGCAGTCGCCCGTTCTTGCTCGCCCGCACTGCCATATGCAGCAAGACGACCCGGTTAGTGGAATCTCACTTCGGTTAATGTGGCATGAAGCCATTGGCGTTCGCATAATTCATGGCAGTATGCGCACTGAGATACCGGCGAAGTTCCTTGACAGGGCGACTGCGGTTTTGGGCTCAAAACCCTGACCGCAAAGCGGTGATGGTTGGCGTGAGACAACCAGGGCACTGTAATTTTTGAGGAACACGACGCCAGACATGTCCCAATCATTCGGTTAGAGGGTTAAAAGACGCTGTTAGTTTGGCGCCCACCTAACAACCAGCCTGGTAGGAGAAATTCTATGTAGGTTGCATGGACAGGCACCAGTATAACTCAGTGGATCACGCAGGTGCACAAACCACTACACTACGGTAAAGTTCAGCCTGTTGGTGGATCCCACCTTGTGCTTGGGTGGAGACGTTGCAAGGAATGGCACCCAACCGAGATTTCCAGATTGTTCGATTGCGCGTTTGGAGGCGTGGGCATCTCAGAATGCTTGCAGCAGGATAGCGCCAGGTCCGTCCCTCATACACCCTCCTAGCTTTAAATGTCATCGAATAAACTTTGTGGTTGTAAGGTACTGGAGCATCCGTGTCAACACTGATGCTGACGATGATGCTCAGACATACTGAGTTGTAGGGTGTCAGAGTTGGGTTTCTAAAAGATACACGTTAAATACTCACCGTGGAAGGGGCGTACTGCTTCCAGCTATCGTCTATGTGTTTCAGAGGCAGAATAGGAATTCGCGAAGACAGCTATGCACTGGAAACGACCGAGGCTATTCAATCACAAGTTATTCCTCAGCTTGTGATGTTACCACATCGTTTTAAATTAGCTGGCTCAGTTCACGATTGACGACGACACAGAACACAAAATGAAACCATGATCTAAACGACACCACAAGAAAAGGAGCTAACCGACTGGAAGGTCGGGGATAAAACAACGAAGATACGTACTTTTGAATCTGCACCGTAAACAATCGGCGTGATTAGTCCTTGAGAAGTTGCCACAGCTACGTTTACGTCCACTGTGTTGAACCTGGGGACGAACAACAGAAATGCGTTTTTGGCCTGGAAAGAACGTTCAACACCGGAACGTCCAGTAAAAGTGAAGTCGTATGCGCGACTGGCGAATGGTTTGTCGTATTTTGCGAAGAGACAGAGGTCACAAATAGCCCATAGACAGTCGAAAAATAAACACAGGGAGCCCAAGAAGAGAGGCTGAGGTCAGAAACACGACTAGGTTTACTAAGCGATGGCTTCACACATCGCAGCAAAACTACAGGTAACATGCGCCGTGAATACGGGCGGATAAAGTCATATTTAGGCCGGACTATTCATCAATATGGGAAGCAGCATGTTTAATCATGTGCGCTTCTCTTCAGAAAACGTCACTAGTCCAAAACAGTGATTACCATACCGCAGCAAACAGATGAATAAACTGGGGAAATGTCCAGCCTATCAAACGAGAATCGGAGACGAACAAGAGGCGAATCCCTTTGTGAACCATAAACGAGACTTGGGAGCTGGAACGGCCTCAGATAGAACAAGATGGAGAGGATGTTGGGCATCAGACATAACCCACAGAGAAAGTTTATGACAAGGATCAATGCGCTTTCTGACCACAAAGTTGACAAGCCATTGCATCTAGGAACATTCTTCACGGAGCGGACAATCAGGTGTAAGCTTTTTCCAATTGGGAACGGGAGAACAGCAAATTCAATGTGTGAGGACATGAGAAGTGGAAAACTTCAAAATGAGTCTGAGTCTGAGAGTATGAAATACCAGTCCTCGGACTTTGGTAAACGTGATTTAAAAAACGGGCTGAAAGACAACAGGATAGCTCGGTCGTTAAGACCCGCACCTACTGACCGGAAGGTCTACGGTTCGAACCCAACCCCGATACCTCGATTGCTCCTGTTAAGAATTGAGCAACCTGGCAACACCTCAGCACTTATGCCAGCCAGGGAAAGAACTTTACAGCTGAGTGATTTGTTTTTTTTATATTTTACATGGAAATAAATATCCTCTACGAAGTATTGAGCTCAGAATGAAATGCATTTAGACTGTTACGCAAGAAGACTTGATCGAATTTGAAAATCAAGGTTTCCGCCCCATACATACCATATCCAATAGGAAAGCACCCGGTAACGATCGTGGATATTGGACGGTGGGACAGGAGTAAAGAGCCAGATATATCACGGCTATTTTGTTGCCAGTCTTAGGTGCCGTTAGCACTGCATAAACAACACAGGCTTACTTAGACTGACGCTCAAAAATCACAGGAAGCTTGTTTGGCTCTTAGTATGGTGACTGACTTCTGGATTCCCTCTGATTTGATTTACTTTGTTCGTCAGAAACAAGGATGCAGAACGCAAGTACTGTGGTCAAACTGACTGCCCTCGCTCTCTTCCAGGTTCCTGCTGCACACCTCTGATGATGCAGAGGCCGCTGCAACTGGATATGCTGGGGTTGGTATTGTATTGAGCAAACGGAAGGAAGCGTTTCTGCTTGATTGGATACCCGCTGATAGTCGCTCCTGTGCGTCTCGTTTGGCAACATCTGCGAGAGTCTAGAGGAAGTGAGGCCTATTGCATTCTGTTTATTGTGTCTGCTTACGCCCCAACTGACTGTAGCTCTGAATCTGCCAAGGACAGTTTCTATGACGTCCTGGGTGTCCTTCTACAGTAGACTGAAAGCTCGGATATCGTTGTTTGCTAGTGACATGAACGCCCACATGGTACACTAAGGATTGCTTAGGCTTGATTGGGTAATCGTCTTGGATTGAACACGAGACGCGAGGACAACGCGAAACGCTTGCTTCGGATGTCTGCCGACCACAGACTGTTTGTTTACAGTGAGGAGTTCCGGAATAGCGGGAATCGCTTGACAACGTGGTGCCCACCAACAAACCAGCCGAGAATCCAAGTAGACCACATCTCGGTCAGTTATCGGTGGCGAGGGTCAATCACCGCCTGCCGCGCCTTCTGGAACACCAGTGTGGACTCCGGTCATGCATTTGTACGCTACTGCTTTTAACTGCGCTTTTCAGGTGTACGTAAAACGCGTACACCTCACTTAGCCATTGAGGTACCGCCTGCAGGGCGGTACAATATCGGATATTGTTGGGGATATCAGTATCCCAAAAAAAAAACGCTGTATTTTTATGTGTGCTAGCGAACTTCCGGCATCTTCAAGGTCAAACTATGAATAAATCAATGGCCTATTCATACTCCAAGAAATTTAAATCCGACCACATACACGACACCATCTTTTTACTGACTTGGGTTCGGAAGCTCGGGGCATCGCCTGTTGATCGCGTGTTTTTGGATCATTAAAGTTTGTGTCCGAGGTTTTTCGTCTTCTTACTATCCGCCGTGCTAGGAGTCTGGGTCAAGCAACATAGCTGGGGATAGAGTATTGCCACAATCCGCATTATCATATTGTTTGCTCGCTGCGTGACCGAACCGTAACATATTTGGCGACGCAAGATGGAGGCAGAACAACTCAAAGTAATGTTTGAGCAACAACTGCAACTCATCAAAGTACTTACGGAGCGACTATCAACTACATCTTTGGCTTCACCGGCGGCGTCGAGTGTCCCACAGTCGGTTGATGGAATCGCTGGCAGTATCAACGAATTTTGCTATGAACCCTCAGCTGGCATAACGTTTGATGCTTGGTTTCGTCGCTATGAAGACCTGTTCAGGGTCGATTTTTCACTTCAAGATGATAGTTGGAAGGTTCGCCTCCTGCTCCGCAAACTTGGACCCGCAGAGCATGATAAGTACGCTAACTATATTCTGCCAAAAAACCCGCGCGATTTCACTTTTGATGAAACGGTCAACACGCTTTCACAAATATTCGGTGAGCAAACGTCACTTTTCAACATCCGTTATCGATGCATGAAGCTAGTGAAGAGTGATGCAGACGACTTCCTCACATATTCTGGCATCGTGAACCGAGAATGCGAACGGTTCAAACTCGGATCGTTAACGGAAGATCAGTTCAAGTCGCTGATTTTCATATGTGGTCTACAATCCCCGAAGGATGCAGAAATCCGTACCCGACTCCTCAGCCGCATCGAGCAGGACCCATCCATGACGCTGCAGGCCGTCACCTCGGAGTGTCAACGGTTGCTTAACCTGAAGCATGACACCGCGATGGTCCAACTCGGGGGTCATGGCGGTTCCGAGGTTCATGCAATACACCAGGATACGCAACAGCCTGGCCCTGTCAATTCTGGCCCAACCAAATCGACCTCGCAGTGTTCTGGTCCGAAGCAAAACAAAGGCTCAAAGAAGACACCACCTTCACAATGTTGGCACTGTGGAGCCTGGCACTTCGTCAGGTTCTGTCCTTACAAGAAGCATCGGTGCCGCCAATGTAAGTCCGTGGGACACAAAGATGGATATTGTCAGTCACTGATGCATACGGCCTCTGCTGTTTCAAAGCAATCATCACGCATCCGTCCCAAACCGAAATCGAACCCTGTTGGCTCCTCTCTCAGTTTGCTGGCTACTTTCCAGATCAACACGCCAGGTAACCGGAAGTATCTGACAGTCACCGTAAATGGTCATCCAATCCGTCTGCAGTTGGACACTGCGTCGGACATTACCATCATTTCGGAGAGGCTTTGGCGCACGCTCGGGCAACCTCCGATCAGACAAGCAGCTCGAACTGCAACCAGTGCCTGCGGTGGAGAGTTAAAACTTTCCGGTGAGCTCCAGTGCTGTGTATCTTTTCGAGGAACTACATTTGTGGGGTCGTGTTATATAACGGCAACTGAGTTGAACCTATTGGGTCTTGATTGGTTCGATCGCCTTGGGTTAGCCGACATTCCAATCAGCGCCGTTTGCAATGCAGTTCAGTCTCCTACAGCGCATCCAGATCATGCATCCGACATTATGGAGCGATTTCCAATTGTTTTCCAGTCCGGTCTCGGTCAGTGCACTGCGACACAAGCAGTCCTCCACCTCGTGCCGGGAGCTACGCCAGTCTTCCGTCCAAAGAGACCAGTTCCGTACGCTTCCCTCCCACTGGTAGATGCCGAACTTCAACGGTTGGAAGAACAAGGCGTTCTGTCCCCTGTATCCTACTCTGCCTGGGCAGCGCCGATCGTTGTAGTAAAGAAACCTAACGGTGGCATCCGCATATGCGCCGATTTCTCAACCGGCCTAAATGCAGCTATCCAGCAGCACCATTATCCACTACCAGTACCCGACGATCTATTCACTGTTCTGAACGGTGGGAAGTTCTTCGCCAAAATCGACCTGGCTGAAGCGTACCTTCAAGTTGAAGTCGCACCAGAATCACGCCCACTACTGACAATCAACACACACCGCGGGCTGTATCAGTACAACCGTCTTCCGTTTGGCGTCAAAACCGCCCCAGCAATTTTCCAGCAATTGATGGACACCATCCTTTCTGGCATTCCAGGTGTGGTCGCATACCTGGACGACGTGCTGATCGTTGCTGTTTCCCCCGAAGAGCTTCGTGAGCGAATCAATGCCGTCTTACTGCGCATTCAGGACAATGGCCTCCGCCTCCGTCCCGAGAAGTGTCAATTCTTCTTGACAACTGTGAAATATCTTGGGTTCATTTTTGACGCCTCTGGTCGCTATCCTGACCCGGAAAACGTTCGAGCTATACAGCAGATGCCACCTCCTAAGGATGTACCATCATTACGTTCCCTTTTGGGGTTAATCAGCTACTATTCGGCATTCCTGCCTTCGTTGCACGACATCCGGCCCCCGCTAAATCGGTTGCTTGGAAAGGATGTCCCCTGGTGTTGGTCAGACGAATGCGAGGAAGCATTCTGCAAACTAAAGACGATGCTCAGTTCTGATCTGCTACTTACCCACTACGACCCAAAGCTGCCGATCGTTGTGGCAGCTGATGCCTCTAATTTTGGTGTCGGTGCCGTCATTCTACACGTCTTTCCAGACGGATCGGAGAGGGCCATTATGCATGCGTCGAAATCACTAACCCCAGCAGAACAGCGATACGCACAGATAGAGAAAGAAGCGTTGGCCTTAGTGTTCGCGGTTCGGCGTTTCCACAAAATGTTGTATGGCCGCCGTTTCACCCTACTTACCGATCATAAACCATTGCTCTCCATTTTCGGCTCAAGGAAAGGTGTTCCCGTACACTCTGCCAACCGCCTGCAAAGATGGGCCCTGATTATGCTGGGTTATGACTTCGATATTCAATATCGACGCACCACCGACTTCGGTCAGGCCGATGCATTATCTCGGCTGATCAACAACCAGCCAACACCCGAAGAAGACACGGTTATTGCGCATGTTGCATTTGAGGACCCAGCCGACCCACAGTTGGTCCAGTCCGTTCGTGCCCTGCCCGTGACAGTAACAGAGGTTCAAAGAGCTACCACAGCTGATGGAACGCTTCAAAAGGTGATCCGATTCATGAATTCTCGGTGGCCTTCGAATCTCAAAGATGATTCCCTTCGACAGCTCTTTCATCGCCGAGATGCATTAGCGATCGTAAAAGATTGTTTAATGTTTGGAGATCGCGTGGTGATTCCGCAACCTTTACGCCATCGAGTTCTTCGTCAGTTCCATTCTGGACATCCAGGAATCAACCGTATGAAGTCAATAGCTCGCAGTTACGCATACTGGCCGCACATGGACCAGCACATCACTGATTTTGTAAAACGCTGCTCCCGATGTCAACAAGCTTCAAAGAATCCGCCACACCAACCACCGGTTCCCTGGCCTCGACCTGAAAAGCCCTGGTCTCGGATCCACATTGATTACGCAGGACCGATAAATGGCACTTTTTATTTGGTTTTGATTGACGCTTTTTCCAAGTGGCCAGAAATCGTTCCGGTGTCATCTCCAACAACATCTAGTACGCTGAGAGTGTTATCCAACATTTTCAGTCAGCATGGATTACCGGAGTCCATAGTCTCAGACAATGGTTCGCAGTTCACCTCTGCTGAGTTCCGCGACTTCTGCACTCGACATGCGATAACACACGTTCGTTCACCACCGTACCACCCACAATCGAACGGTCAAGCAGAAAGGTTCGTCGACACATTCAAGAGGGCTTTGCTTAAAGCTCGAGGGGAGGAGACATCCGTCGAAGCCCTTCAGAGATTCCTGTTTGTGTACCGAACGACCCCGAATGACGCTTTGGCAAACCACCAGTCACCTGCAGAGGCACTCATGGGCCGTAAACTTAGAACTGTGCATTCTTCCATGTTGCCAACACAACCTACTGAGTCAAGGTCCATACCGGTGGCAGTTGGAACTCCATTCAAGGTGGGAACGCCCGTGCTTGTCCGTGACTATCGCCCAGGACATGATTCATGGATTGCAGGTCGTATCCTGCGCAAACGCGGTAGTGTAATGTACGACGTGTCGGTTGGTCAAGACACCTGGACCAGACATCAAAACCAACTCCGCTTTAACAGCAAGCCAGAAACTCAAGTATGTTCGGGTACCGGACATGTTGCTCGATACTTTTGGGCTGAAAACTGAGACAGCTTCGAAAGAGGAGTGTGTGACCGGCAGCTCAGTATTTGATCCAACACTTCTTCCCAGGCGGTGGACAGACCGACGCCGTCGCCAGCCGGAACATATCCAGGTCGACCCCCGTCGAGTATGTTACTGACTTTTCACAAGGAGAGGTGTTGGATATATCAATATTCCCCCAAAAACGCTGTATTTTTATGTGTGCTAGCTAGCTTCCGGCATCTTCAAGGTCCAACTATGAATAAATCAATGGCCTGTTGATTTTCCAAGAAATTTAAAATCCGACCACTACTTACACGATACCATCTTTTTACTGACTTGGGTTCGGAAGCTCGGGGCATCGCCTGTTGATCGCGTGTTTTTGGATCATTAAAGTTTGTGTCCGAGGTTTTTCGTCTTCTTACTATCCGCCGTGCTAGGAGTCTGGGTCAAGCAACATAGCTGGGGATAGAGTATTGCCACAATCCGCATTATCATATTGTTTGCTCGCTGCGTGACCGAACCGTAACAGATATAAACGGCCACTGGGAAAAGATATCCAATGTGCTACTCAAAGCCGGAACGTTTGTTTGAGGTACAACCGAGCCAACCTCATCCAAACATTGGATCCCCGATAGGATCGTGTCTTTGCTCGAGATCCAGCGACAACTTCAGACCACGGCCACTGGGAAAAGATATCCAATGTGCTACTCAAAGCCGGAACGTCCGTTTGAGGTACAACCGAGCCAACCTCATCCAAACATTGGATCCCCGATAGGATCGTGTCTTTGCTCGAGATCCAGCGACAAATCCCTTCAGACCACAAGCACAACTCCAACCGACGCATCATCCGACGCCAGATGAAACTCAGTATCTGTGCAGACCGAGAGGCTTGGTGGACCCGAAAGGCCAAATGGAAGATGCATGGAGTGGAAACGTCCGCAAGCTGTTCCACTTGATTCGTTTGACTGGTCCTCAGAAGACCTCTTGTCAGTGAAAAAATCGGGGACCAAAATGACTCTGGAAGGTCTTCGAAACTCCGGTGTTCAAATAGTTCCTGGTGAGAACCTTGTCGATCTGGAGTACGCAGATGACATCGCCCTCATCTTTGAAGACCAAGCTGGAGCACAACCCCTGTTGAGTAGGCCGACCACCATCATACCATCTTTCGTCATGCGCCTTACACCTTCAAAGTGCAAAGTCCTGCTTCAGAACGTGCCATCTGCGAACATATCCTTTACAATTCAAGGAGAATCACTGGAGATTGTGGAAAACTTTACATACCTCAGTAGTTGTATTAGCTCTGACGGAAACGTGTGTGATGAAGTCAGTGCGAGAATCTCAAAGGCTGGAATCACCTTTGCCAATTTGCGTCACTTGTGGCGTCAAAAAGGCATTTCACTATATCTTAGGGCCGCGTGTATGAGGCTACAGTAACGGTTGTCTTGATACCGGGATGGCCAACAGACAGTCACCCGGTTGTCTTGATACCGGGATGGCCAACAGTCACTTAACCAGTCACGCGTCAATTCAGCTTTCTGGCGGCACGTATTTGTGATTGCTGTAGGATTCTGTCCAACAACCGGTAGTTGGAAGGCCGAAATAGGAATGTAAGTGCCAAAAGCCGTAAAAACTGATGTGAGAAAGCACAGAGGCGTAATTTCACTTGAAGAGGGACGGCCATGGCAGGAAAAAATAGTTCCTCGAGGTGCTGCTTAAAATTCCCGGTCGACTTACTCAGACACAGCGCCTAGACTGTAATGGTTCGGTCCTCACTGATGATGCTGCTCTAAAGTTATCAAGGAAAGATCACCCAACACTTATTGGGCCAAATAAATCGGATACCAAGGCCAGTGACATTCCACTGGAAAAATGGAAATGATATGGGTAACAAGAGCGGCCGAAATCGTGAATAAAAGGAACATCAAAGCGTTCCATAAAAAGACTCACTGTCTGATAAAATCGCCTTGCCAGGAGGAATTGCACTCGGGGACTTTGCGGCAAGTCACAGCAATAGCCTTCACGATGATGTCATTCACTGTGACTTTGACTGCATCCTCCGCTTTTGCAACACGTTTGGCCAGTTTTGCGTTGACGTCCTGACGAAATTCCAGCACATCATCCATTATGATATCTGTCGTTAAGTAGTAGTGTGGTATAGTTTGGTTAGATTCTGTGAGCCGACTTGCGATGACCTGAAGACAGAGAGAGGGAAGATCTGAGTGAAGCTGAAAGTTGTTCACAATTTCTTCACCGCACGAAGATTCGTACAAACACTGCGGAAAAATGGATTGATGAAACAGCACACTGCCGCACCAAAAATCCAGGCCTGTGAACACCAAACAGTAGCCGCTAGTGAGGACAGCAATCACCAAAATTATTACGTGATATCGATTATAGGGGAGAACAGTTGGTTTGCGCATATCCTTGCGAGGCTAAAAGCGTAAAATAAATGCGAGCTGGCGCGCTTAAATCTTCTATACGACGTTCATATCAAGCACAATGCTCCAACTGCTCCGGACCAACTACCGTGTGCCTGCCTTTGTACGTCAGTTGAAAAATATCCTAAACAAGAGGTGCACAAAAGTAGCAAAGATCGGTATCCTCGTAGCTAGGTTGATGGAGCACCCACACACGGAAGTTGGTGTGTTTCCTGTTCGCACTGAATACTGCACTCCGAGATCCATTGAAGACATCTTTATATTTCTATCGTTCATCAACACATTCATCTCTTGTCTCTCAGTTTGTTTCACTTCCTTAAAAAGTGGAGTGCAAACAAAAAAACGCAGGTGTTACACAGCGTAATATTAGTAAGTAATTTGGGGACAGCACCAAAACACACACCAAAACACGTGGGACTCAAATGAACAATTCAGTGCTATCAAATCCCTCACGAAACAAGCACTCTAATATCAACATATAACACCAATACATCTGAGACCCACCTACATCATGCAACTGAAGCACAGCACTGAGGACGAATAATGAACAGACGGTCAAACATACGAAAGAGAAACATGAAGAACGTTTACTGAACTACAAAGATCCGGGGTGAGGGAGAGTAGGACAAAATTAAAGTGCCAACTTTTACTTACTGCCCGCAATCCACTTGTCGGAATGTCCACGAATGAACCAGCCATGGCTGTAGAAGCTGAAACATCAGCTGTGGACGGTCTTGCGTTAGCGAGATCCGCGGCGCGTACCATCCCACGTATGCCGGTTCCCAAACCACTCAGTTGATTGATGTCAATACCCTGTTCAGCGGCTAGTCGACGAGCTAAAGGGGAGATAAAGACACGGTCACCGGTTGCCGGTTTGGGGGTTCTAAGCGTGGGGACGGGAGTAGGTGCTGTTGGCGGAGCCGGTGTAGCAGGGGGCGCATGTGGTGCCGGCTCTGCTTTCGCCGCCGGTGTCTGAAACAAATGGTGCATAAAGACGATCATGCGGCTTATAACAAGATATCAGGCGTTAGTACAATTTGAAAAAGCAAGTTGGTGGAACAAAGACGTCTGATCAGAAAACTGGACACGCCAACGATTAGATTTGCCATCCCAATACGACTAAACCGTGGCCAAACGTTAAGCACCATTCGACAGAGAACCGTGAGATTCTCAGGAATACGACAGAACAGTGGTAGATCCAAGAATCCAGTGCCCGACTTTATGTCACGAGAGCCAGGAAGCATTTACTGCATAGATGAAAGATTGACATATAAACACTAAGTGTTTCTATTCAACTAGAAGCAGCACCACCAGATCCACAGCACAGACTGATCCGATGACGATTAGATGCACGTAGGGTACATTATTGAAGGTGTTTCACACAGAGGATCGTTCGTAAGCAAGTTCATGAGTTCATAAACTGCAAACATGTGAAAACTCTATTATGAAAAGTTTGATTCATGTACTTAACACACGGGTAGGTGTGCAGCCCATAAGTACTGAAGATCAACACTGGACTGACTGGAAGCAATTCCTATCACCTGAGAACAGCAAACAATTAAGTACTCTGCTCCTATTAAGACATCTTGAAGGCCAGGAAAACTATTTTGTCTGGCAATTCGCTGCTCTTGAATGCCTTATATTCGCAAATCGAGCAGCGTGTGAATTCGGAGTCGTACAGTAATCATACAACGACATCGGATACGGATGGACGGGTCGTCATTTGCAACCTGCAGCACCAGCACCTTCGGTTATTACTTTCCTGACCGATGTTCTGGGTCTGATTGTACAAACGCCTAAATAGATGATGAATGCAGAGGCAATGGTCGAAACCTGAGTACTTCTGGATTTCTCAGGGTTTTCTCAGATCAAAGATCACCTGATAATCCGGTAAAAGTGTACCAAAAGCACAGCGAAGTGGGACGAACAAATGAGGATACAAACTAGGATACCAATGTCAGTGAAATGAAGACGCAGCATTCAGAAGGAACTAGATGCTCTAACGGACCAAGGGTAGTACGCTCGGGCACATTTCTAAACCGTTCCGCAGCTCAAATGGTCGCGGCTTCCCCAAAATCCGCACCAACAAAACCCAAACTCTTTGTAATTTCTCTCACACTTCTGCCAAGTCATACGTCGTCCACCTCGCGGTTTACGCCATTCTGAATCGGGCACGGAAAACAGCACTCTTCAGCAAACGATAATTCGGAATGCGCAACACATCGCCTAATCACTGCAACTTTCGGTAGTGGACACTGATTAAAGTACATGTTGAACAATGAGCACTTATTTTCCAATCGCCTCGTTACGGATTTGCCGATACCAGCCTAAATGGAGTATGGTTCTGAGATAACGATCGCCAATTAAGTGCAGACATCTCCGTTCCGTTGTTTGAAGAGACCATGCCACACCCGTACGAAGAAACAACCAGTGCGGCAGGTTTCCTGAGATCCACGGATATACCGCTTTGACGCCACATGTGTCTCGAATTAACACACGCGACCCGAGCCTTGGGGATTCGTGCATTAACTTCATCTGTCACACTGCAACAAGAAACTCACACAACTTCCACATCCACAGCTTCGATGTCACTCAGATTGCGTGTTCGGTGACTTCATGTCCAAAATCATAACCTTGCATCAACTCCCCCATGGTGACCGTACCGAATGACCGACCATGGTCTCCACGTTCTCAAGCACCATCGCATGAACAGGTGCCTGTTGCTGGTATAGGGTTTACATGTATCTTCTGTGGGTATGCTTGTTACCCGTATTACAAATGCCTCGATAAAGACGCAACCTGCGAAAATTGTGGAAAAGGGCATTTCCAAAAAGTATGCAGATCTACTACTGGTCTGAGGAAAGCCTCATCCTGCATCAGAGCTGCAACTCCCGAGTACTTCACAGTCACCCATGTGAAAGCCGATAACGTTCAACTTCGAGCTCTTGCTGATACTGGTAGTTCAGAAAAGCTCGTTTCCGAAAACGTAGTCCACCGCAATTAACGGACCGTACTACAGTCAGAGATAACTTTGGCATCAATTCAGCACAAAAGCTTTACTCTTGGACACTTTTTCTAAGATTGTAACATAAAATATGTATCCTTCCTTCAAGATTCCGGTGTTACGTGACCTGTGTATAATTTTCTTAGACCTTACAAATCTCTAGAAATCTTCTTCAGACGGTAATAAACCTCTCACACTGGAAAAAGAACCTCTCGCATTGTTTGCGCACCATCATCTGAGGTGCAATCCCAATGCCACAAAGTCAAGACGACACTCTGCAGACAACGAGGTTTTCACTGCTTCTGAAGTAAAGCGTTTACTCGATCAACAGACTACCAACCCCTCAGTCCCATGGACAGCGCAAGTGAGCGACAGAAGGAACGAATGGTTGTTGACTACAACCAAACTATAAACTGATTTACGCAACTCGACGCTTGTCCGCTCCCAAAATTCAGAATATGAGTAATAAAATAACCAAACATAGTATTTCTAGCACGCTTGAACTTGAAGGTGCGTGCCAGCAAATGCTCATTAAGGAAAGTGACAGAATCTACACAACTTTCGAGGCTCGCAACAATCTTAACCAACTTCGCCGGATACCGTTCGAAGTAGTGAACGGAGTAGCATGCTTTCAAAGGGTTATGGCTGATATAATACGCGCTGAATAATGTAATCACTCGTGGAAAGGGTCAATAACGTCATGGAGATCTCCAGCGTCCTGTCACCCTAGCACGAAAGTACGGTCTTCAATCAAATCACGACAAGAACACTACTCCCACCACTCTTAACCCAGACTGATTGTGGAACGCATCATCAAACCAGACCCTGAACTTTCCAGAGTCTTGCAAGAGGTGCCCGGTTCGAAGGACGTTAAGTCTCAGTAACGTGTATCTGGCTAGTTCGCGTACTGTTCTCGTTGGATAAGCCGTTTATCTGATGAAATCTACCCAATCACTCACAACACAAACTTTCCAGTCCCTGGGTCTCTTATAAAAGCTTTTGAGTTTCATAACACAGCTGGTGGACGCACCTGTGCTCAGTCGATCAGAGCATACCTCTGATACTCGAAACTGATGCACCTGATGTCGCAATTTCAGCTACACTAAGTCAAGATGACAGACCAGTCGCATTCTTCTTACATACACTGTCTGTCAGCGAAAAAAAAACATCACTCTGCTAGTAAAACATGCGTAATTGTCGAAGCAGTGAGCAAATGGAAACTACCTAGTTGGGACCCATCTCAAGAGTGTAACCGATCAACGGTCTGTTGCGTGTATGTATTCAACACAGAAAAAGGGGAGAATGAAAAAATAAAACCCAATAGTGGAGGATAAAGTCACCGCCATTTTCTTCGGACGTAACCTACAGACCAGGCACCGAAGACAAAGCTACCGACACACTCTCTCGGAGTGTCTGCTTGAACACTTCATCTCAGCTGGGTCTAAAACGCCTATACGCAACTCTGTGCTCTCCTGGAGCAATAAACATGGTGCATTTCGTATGTGCCGAGAACCCCCATGCTCCCTAGAGGACATCCGAATTGTCATCAGGCAATGTCGTGTGTGCGGAGTCAAAGAAAAGATTCTTCAAGTCACCTGGTGGTACACACACTATAGCCACGCAAAAGTTTGAACGTTTAAGCTGTGACTACAAGGGACTATTACCTTTGACGACTCGAAATAAATATCTACTGACGGTCGTAGATGAGTATTCCCATTTCCCGTTCGCCTATCCGTGCTCACATATAAGTTCCAGTACGGCGATATCATATCTTGTGCCACCAATTACTACATTTGGCCCGCCTAATTTTGTGCATTAAGATCGCGGTTCATCAATCACTTCGGATGAGATTAGGTGATTCCTTCAGGAAAAGGGTGTTGCCACTAATCGGACTACTCCATACAACCCAAGCGAAGTTCATGTGGGACGATTAAATGTAACTTTGTGGAAAGCTATTACGTTTTCATTACGATCAAAAGGTCTTCAATCCGATCATTGGGGAACCATCTTACAAGACGCGCTCCATTCGATTTGTTATTTGTTGAACACTACCGCCAACGCCACAACACACGAGCGAATGTTCCATCATAATCGAAAACCCGCAGTTTGTACATCATTGCTGCAGTGGTTGCTTTCTCTAGGACCAGTTCTCACGCGAATGAATACATTATCCTCGAAGTAAGACTTCGTAGTCGAAGAGCTTGAGCCGTAGGGTGTAACCCTGAGTACGCATACGCCTAACACTCCAACGTCATGGAAGAAACGAATTTCCTGTGTCAGTTGGCGCCCTCCACAGATTATGAATGCGCTCCAGCATCCGTCATTCTAACCCGACCTCTGTCTCTCGACTTCTAGGCTTGAGCAACTTGGCAGTATTCCAGCCCTCGTGCTTCCTTCGGGTAGCGTGACAGCTAGGCACTGGAAGGGGGTTACAGCTGAACAACTTATTTTTTAATGATTCATTGATTAACCGGAACTACTAATTCCTCTGGTTCTGACCAACCGTCAGTTCTACAACTACAGCGGACACGATCACACTTCTTGCACCTCACTGAGGTTTGACATTATTCAATTATAAGACGAACTCTCGTGAGTATTTACCTCTACGGGGAGAGAATGTTAGACTTGAACTTCAACGCATACGTTCGACTCCCTACTGCCGAACCGACGGATGCCGGGAAGAAGAAACACGTCAGCCAGCTTAACCCAGTGACACCATGCACTAAGTTTCCGACAAATCGATAAATTTTTTCATTAATGATGGACACTACCCCTTTGGAGACGTTGTCATTAGGTCCAAAGTTTTGTTGTCCTAGTCGAAAAAGCTGCCAACTCGAGCTTGAAGTCTAATTTGAGAGTCTATATGATCAGCCATCCGTGCTAGTACCTTCCCTTGAACTGAGCGTAGAACAACTAAAGTCGACGCTAGTCAATTCGTGTTACATGTACCTCGGTACAAACGACTTAT